TGATGTGTTAACATTGGGTTATTTCAAGGGACTTCTTTTGTGTAAGGATTGAGGGAGAGGAACCTCATTATCATGCCTGTTTGAGAAATTTGGTTGTTATCACTTTAATCTTGATTTCGTAGGGCTGGAGAAGTTTGAACCTGAGCTTAAAGGAGTTTAAGAGAGAGTGCTTCAGCTGTGACTTTTAGCCTAATCTGGTGCGGGACTTAGCTCATAACCTTCACCTCCTGTGATTCACGTTTAATGCTTTTGCTGGTCATCCCAAGGAAAGTCCCAGGATCAGCTCTGATTGGATCAGCTCTGGTTGGAGCACCTCTGATTGGATCAGTCCTGATTGGAGCAGCCCTGATTGGGTCAGCCCTGATTGGGTCAGCCCTGATTGGATCAGCACCTCTGATTGGATCAGCCCTGATTGGGTCAGCCCTGATTGGATCAGCTCTGGTTGGAGCAGCTCTGATTGGAGCAGGCCCATCCCTGGGCCAGTCGCTGAGTCTCGGAAACGTGGCCTGTGACTGGCTAGGCTGGTCCAGTGCTCATGTGCCGCGCGTTGGCCCCTCCGGCCTATTTCTTTCCTTTATAGTTTTGGAGATGGAACCCAGCGCCTCACACATGGCTGTATAAACGTTCTGCCGCTGAGCTGCTTGCCCTTGCTGTTTTTCAAACTGTTTAGCTGTTGCCTAATTCCACGTCTCTTCACTTACTGTTCCTCTGCCTGCTGTCCCCAAAGCGTGGCTTCTTTTCATCCTTCCTGCCTGCCCCCAAAGCGACCTCCTTAAGATGTTTCATACTTGCCCTAGAAGGAGAGTGCCGCTTCTCTCTGTCTCCCATCACACCCTTCCCCCTTTTTTGTGGCATAGTATTAGAAATTCTACATGTGTTACATGGCATTTTTTTGGTCTCCACAGCCTGTGAGCCCCAGGGAGCAGGAACGTTGTCTTATTCACACCTAGTACGGCGCCTGGCGTTCAGGGAATACTACTGAAATTCTATCCCTTGCATAAACAGGACTTCTCAGACAAGGTTCCGTGGTTGTTGGAGATCCCTGGGGCGGCTTGGCTGTAGAAGGCGGTGAGAAGCAGAGCTCTGGTGTCACATTTTGGGCCAATCCAAACCTGACCTCCGAAAGATCCTCTGGGCTTCCTGCCTGCACTGCTGAGGCCACCTAGGGCAGGATCCCTGTTGCTCCTGCAGGCGGGGTGTGCTGAGGTAACCTGCGGGGCCCTGTGGTGAGACACCACACGCCTTCCACTCTGGCTGAGGGGAGGAGGCTTGCTGGTCTCCCGGAGTGAGGATTCTGGGGCCCCCGGCTGCGGCCCTGGGGTCTGCGTAGGGGATTATTGACGGAGGGAGGCGCCGCAGCTCCTCACAGTAACACATGCCTGGCTCTGGGACTGCAGCCAGGCAGCTAATTAGAGAACCCAGCAGCTGTCCAGCCTTTCAGACAGCAAGCCGGCGCTACCTAGTGCCGGGGAGTGGGACGGAGGGAAAGGAAGGAGCAAGGACAGAGACCACCCTCGGGGCGGGTGTAGGAGTCAGAGTTGCAGGGGAGGGCCATTAGAAGGAGTAAGAAGGCAGAGGGGGCCAGACAGGAAGCAGGGAGCAGAGCAGAGGGACAGGGCAGGGTGGCCTCCGAGTGAAACAGAAGGTAGAGGTGAGGGGTCAGGCAGGCTGGGAACGCCAGAGTGCAAGCCGGGCCTCGGAGTGGAAGGACAGAGCCAAGTACAGGGGGGGCCCAGCTGCCATCCTGCCACCCCCATGCCTCCTTGCTCCCCGGGGGACCTGGCCGGACACAGCCTTTCTCCTGGTGGGGGATGGATTTAGAACACTCACCGTCTGTAGCTGAGTGTGGTTACTCCTTGGTTTGGGAAAATGCCAAATTCACTAGCGTTCTGGGCTGGTCATATCACCGGATAAGTAAAAGCAGTTGTTCTGGGTCACGTGGGAAGGACTGGGGGGGCGCTTTGAATACTCAGGGGGCTCCTTAATCGGGCTTTGCTAATGAAGCGCTTAGGCTGAGACCCCTAGTTAGCTTTAGGGTAGGACCAATGACCAGAAGACCAAGTGATCAGGAGATTACAAATTTGGAACTTATAGCCTCATCTAGCAACCAAAAGGTCAGAGGTGAGGGGGCTGAAGATCAAGCTCTATTTGATGTAGCTCAATAGCACAGTCGCCTGCCTTGCAAGAGGAAGGTCCTGAGTTCGATTCCCAGTACCCCCCAAAAAATTGGGCCAGGGATCAAGCTGTATAAAAACTTTTTTGTTTTTGTTTGGTACCGAGGATCAAACTCAGGACCTTGTGCTTGCCAGGCAGGCGATTGTGCTGCTGAGCTGTATCCCCGGCCCTCTGTAAGAACTCTTGGACGAGATCTGATAAACTCTCAGATGCCAAACAGGCAAGTTACATTTACTATGGTGGTAAGCAGCCCCGTGCCCATGCCTTGCCCTATGTATGTCTGCATCTGGTTGTCCAGCAAAGACGCTTGTTTCTGAGTTCTGAGAGCCTCCTGGCAAATTAATCAGACCCAAGAGCGGGTAATGTGCAGCCTGGTTTGCAGCCAGTCAGAAGTGCAGGTGATAACCGACTGCTTGTGATTAGCATCTGTGGTGGGGACAGTCTTGTGAACCTGAGCCCTCAAAATACAGGATCCGCCATCATCTCCGGGCAGATAGGCTCTGAGTTGAAACGAATCCCAGAATACGCAGTTGGTGTCCGCTGGAGAACCGCTGCGTATGCATGTGAGGAAATCTCGCACATCTGGTCAAGAAGTATTGTGTGTGGAGTGTGGGAATATTTTGTTTTTTCCTTTCCTGGGAAACGTGAGGAGGGTTAAGGCTGAGGAGAGTGGGGAAGGAAAGGGATGGTGTTTGCCTGCACACTTCCTGGCTCCAGTCTTTAGTTCCAGGGGGTGGGAGGATTTGGGTTCTGGTCAGAGAAGCAGAGATTTCAATCCTGCAAGCCCAGCTTACCCCAGTTATAGAGGAGAGAAAACGATGCAGGGGGAATTTTCTATCAGCAGCTGCTGGTTAAACCTCTTTGGGAAGTGAAACTTCCTGTGTGAAAGTGGCTGTGCCTTTTGAGAGTGCCCCGGCTGTAGAAGTAACAGAATAGGCATTATTATTCTCTGACCTGCACCCACCCGGCCCTGTCCCTGTGGGAGCCGCAGTGCCTGCTGCAGTGCCTGCCGGGATGCTGGGGATGTCGGTCTCCGCCCCAGCTCTCCTTGCGCGATACTGGACGGAGTCTTCTGTAGTGTCCAGACCCAAGCCACCTGCTCTTGCTTCCCCCACCTCAGTCCATGTGACGGTGCCTGGGGGTGGGAGAAAGGAGCTTGAGCTCCCTTTTTGTTTCCCTGATCTGTCTTGACCCATGTAGGCCCACACTTATGGAGCTTAATGGAAGAGAAGTCCTTCCCGAGAAATTAGACACAGACACCAGACATTACTGAAATGGTTAATTTTGTACAAACCCACGGGCTGTGTCTTCCAAAACTGAAGAATAGATCTGAGTACAAAAGCAGAAATTTAGGGGAGTGTGTATTAGAAAGAAAAAGGAACAAGCTCTTGGAGCTCTTCTGAATAGAAGTCCATTGTGCTTCTCTGTTTGGGCCTTCTGTATGGGACTTGTTTTAAACAGGTGGCTTTTTAAAAGGCATTAGTTATTTAACTGGTTCACAGGAAACTGAGTTAAAAGGAAACTGGTTATTCTGCATTTCTAATGTTTTCTGAGTCTGGTTGAAGTCCCGTGGAAATCCGGTCCTCAGGAGGTAAGGAGGAACTGTCAACTAATTTAGCATATCTTCTTCCTGGGAAGGAAGGTCCTTATCTTGCTCTTTAGTATAGCTTTTATCCTTCTTCTTGTGTTTACCTTTGCATCTCTAAATTTGACTTGGCTGCTTGATTAAGCTCTTTTTATCTTTTTATCACTAGTCTGCGCTAACTGCCACTTACAGTAACTAGACCATACCGCTGCATTACTAGGCTGGGTTAATACGCTGGCTGACTCCATCAGCCAAGAAGTTAGCTGGGTACTTCTCCAGCTTGCTTGTCCATCTGTCCAACAGAAATAGTGTGGCCTCCAGGAATTCACTATGCGGTGACCGGAACACACACACGAAATAATTTTCAGGTGTGACAACATGTGTGGGTGGAAGCAGGGTACAGTCCCTAGAGCAACAGTGAAGGGGTAACCCAGAGGCTGCGTGTGGAGGGAAGGTGTAAACAGCGCCTGGGAGGGTGGAAGGGGGCGGGCTGCCCGGGAAGGCAGCAGATGACCAGGTGGGAAAAGGCAATGGTCCCGGCTCCTCGGAGCTCCAGGAGCCCCTCAGGCATGTTGATGGAGGAGCTGTATGGAGACCTTCAGCTCTGTATTTGCAAAGTAAGTGGCTCACAGGGTGCGTGGGTGGATCGTACTCACTCGTGTGCCTTCAGGATGAGGTTTAGGTGGAAGGCATGCTGTTTAGGGCTGACCAGGACTTGCATCAAATATGTGGATTTGGACAAATCTTGCATCATCGCACGTGTCAGCGTATCTGGCCCTAGGATGGAGGTGCCCCTCTGGCCCTTCATGCCCTCCAGGAGTCCGGAGAGACTCGTGAAGGTGGTAGACCGGAAAAACTCCAAATTCTGCGCGCGTGTCAGTTGCTGTGAGGCTTCTCCGCAGTCACATGCTCTGGTTGCGCAGTCCACAGAGGAGCTTCAGGCCTCTGTCCCCTTGTGGGACGGAGAGTCTGAGGAGGCTGAGGGCAGCTGTGCTCTTGCAGGAGGAGGCCCTGTGCCTGCCGCATCACTTCTCCTCCACCCCCACCAGCACGGGGGTGCGTGGGGCATGTGTCGCCCTTGCAGACGGGGGCGCAGGAGGTGTCCAGCCAGAGGCAGGCAGCAGGAGGGGCCTGCTCTGACCGCTGCAGCTTCATCTTCCAGGCTGCACCTCAGCTGCCCAGCAGCTTCCAGGGCTGACTGCAGCCTGCACACTCTGGCAGGATGTGGTCTTTGGTTTCTGTTTCTCTTTCAACTTGTGCTATTGCTGCTGCGTGACTAGGGCCCGGGGAAGGGGAAGTACCCATGGGGGAACTTGAACTCCTCAGGCCATGCGATCTGGTGTGCTGGTGGCGGGGGTATTGGACGGGCACTTAAGGCTCTTTCTTCCAGGTGGCAGGTACGTTCCAGGGTGGCCGCTGTCCTCCATCGGGCGGCTGGGAGAGGAGGGAGATGAGGCTGAACAGTTGGGGAGGGCAAAGGTCCCTTTCTGTAGATGAGCTGGGCGGGACAAGCCAGGCTGAGCCCGGCAGCCTCACATCTTGTGCTCCTCCGTTTTCTCTGTGCAGAGGCCCGGGGGAAACCTGGGGTCCCCCACAGAAGTACACTCGCATAGGGTGCATCTCAGGTCCCCCCATTCCCCGCCCTCACACGTCTCAGCTCCTCTGCTGCCTCACAGGGGCCCAAAGGGAGAGGCTCTGCTTGGGGAAGATGGTGGAGGGGAGGAAGGTCGAGGCTGATACCTCTGGGTCCACCGTGGAGCAGTGGTGCCGCCTTCCACCCCAGCCACACACCGTTCTCAGCTCCGAGCAGCCACGGAGCTGGCTAAAGCCCCGTCCTTGTGCTGTGCAGATGGTTCTGAGCCGGGGAGTTTCCAGGGAAGCTGCTACAGCTTCATGTTAGAGCAAAACATGTGTCCAGTCTCAGGGAGATTATCAAAACATGTACGTAGGAAAGGGCTTTATAAAGTAAGATTTCAACTGGGCTTGGTGGCACACGCCTATAATTCCAACACTTGGGAGGCTGAGGCAGGAGGATCGCTGCAAATTCTAGGTTAGCTTGGACTACATAGCAAGACTTTGTCTCAAAAAAAAAAACAAAACCCAAGAAAGTAATGTTTATATCAGCTTCTAGCCAGTTGTCAAAGTTAAGAGGAAGGGCCTCAATAATGATAATAGTAAATAATAAAATGGGACAAATATTAGGGTGGTGGATTGCAGGTAGAGGGCTTTAATACACATTGTGTTTATCTGGTTTTCTGTGTTGGTTGTATGTAACACTCAAAATGTTAAAAAAAAGTCCGACATTGTCTGCCTTCCGTGAGGTGAGGTTCTCCACTGCCCTTCATAACTGTGGGGTGAAGGTGAAAGCATTCGTTTGCTCATAATACAGGAAGCCCAGACCCTAAGCCACCCTGGGAATTTCCGGTAACCATCTCAGGCCTTCCTGGATTAACCTGACCGGAGCAGACAAGATGCAGAGAGGAAACGGCAGGCTGCGGGAGAGGGGCCTTGGTCTGATCCCGCTTTGGTTCTGCCTTTCCAGTTGGCCTGGTAGTCTAGGGCTGGGGGTGGATTGAGCTCATGAAGGCCTCCTCTTTTATTCCCAGGGACACATGGAAACCGCCGCCCACCAACCAAGGATCAGCTGAATCCTGGAGCTGATGCTTGCCCACACTGCTGAGAACGGTACCGAGGCCCAGTCTGGCACCAGGACGGAGGTTAAGCTGGGACACTCCTGCACAGGGATCCTGATGTCTATTCTGAGCCACACACGCAAAGCTGTGATAAGTGAGTATGTTTCAGGAACCTGGGGATCACCAGCCTGCCTGCCTTATACCCCACCCTCATGGGCTTAGGCCTGGCCTAGTACTGAACCTGCCTCCTGCCTGAGGATCCAGCAAGGCTACCATTATGGGATGGGAGCGGGTGTTACATATTTTCAGGCTATGTCATTGTGGGAGCCGCATCTTTGAGCTGTGTGGCCTCTAGAAGTTGTTATTGTGGAAATAGGAAATACCTGTTCCCTCTGCTCACCATCTCGGCTAAAGTTTTCCGCTTGGTGGAACATTAGGTGTTGTAATAATGAGCACACAGGCTGTATAGCAATTCGGAAAAACAGTTACGATGAAGTAAGTGAAAATGGCAGATTAGAGCAAGTACGTCATAGTAACATAAAATATACACAGGGAAAGACGGGAGAAGTGATCACGCGGTTAGTTTGGTGTCATTCTGGATGCTTTTCTTTTCTACAGTGCATGGATTGGCTTCTTTTAAAACAATTTAATCTGGTTGTCCAGAGACTGTTCCATTCATAGTGACTTTCTCTAGGATGTGGGATCAGGGGAGGCTTCTGCTTGCTAAGTCATTTCTTCCCATAATGTTTACACTTCACCTGTGAGCACATGCTACTTTAGTAATTGGAAAAACAATACAGATGTTGTAAGAAGAGAGGAGGAGAAAGGCCGAGCCAGCTACTGTTTAATACCTACTGTAATGGTCAGCTTTTCATCACTGTGACAAATACTGGAGAGCAACTAAGAGGAGGAAAGTTATTCTGGCTTGCGGTATTAGAGGGTGCAGTCCATGGTCAGCTGACTCCAAGACAGGAACACCAGGGAGGAAGGATGTGGTGGAGGAAAGCTTCCCACCTCCTGGCAACCAAGAAGCAGATAGAGAGGGAAAGAGCTAGAGAGCACGGGGTCAGGGACCAGACGTGATCCCCAAGGTCACGCCCCCCCCCGCCCACTTCCTTCAACAGCAAGGCCTCATCTCCTGTGTTCATTGCCTCCCAGCAGTGCCTTCCAATTATAATCTCACCAGTAGGTGAATCCAGGGGTGAGACTAGAGCCTTTGTGACCCAGTCACCTTCCCAGAATCCTCCTTCTGACCACATGAGCATATGGGGGAACATTTTACATCTACAGGATGACACCTGCACTTGTCACCAGGCAGGCACATCCCTCCCTGCCTCCTGCTCACAGATGTTGTTAGGTATTATTACCAGGTACCATTCTAAACACTGGTTGCCCAGCAAGTGACTCAAACAAAGCCCCAGGCTTCTTGGATCTTTCATTCTAATCGGAGCGGAAAAGACCGTAAACAATCAGCAAAAGATTGCCAGAAACTGAAAATACCACGAGGAAAATAAGATGGAGAGATGTGAGTGCACAGGGAGTCTGCTTGGGTTTCGGGGGGACCAGAGACGGTCTCAGAGGGGTGACAGCTGAGCCGAGACCCGAATGACCTCAGATGAAGGGCTGAGAAGGACATTTCAGGCGATGCAGAAGGTTCCCAGCCGCTTGTGCCTCCCTGCTGGGATTTGCTTAGAATCTGAATCCCTCTACAGCCCTCTTGTGGAATGGCTGTCTCTGACACTCCGGCTGCTGCCACCCTGGGCAGATGGCTCCGCTGGGCCGCCGCTTGCACGCCCTGCTCTTGGCTGGCATCAGCATAGGACAGATCTGAGATTTACAGACCGGGGCGGGTGGGCAGTAAAAGAGGCTGTGGATGGTGTGTGCTGGTGAGGGGTCTTTGAATAGCCACTGAGGCCCTGAGGGGTAGTGCTGCCATGGTCCTGCAAAGGTCGGCCTTGACCCTGGAGGACTTTTGTGTGGATCCTGCCAGAATTTGGCCCGAGGGATAGGCTGAGAGCCTGGACAATACTAACATACAGTTCTGAGCTTCACTGATGATCCTCCTAGAGTTATGCACCCTTTCTACTTCTAGTTGTTTCTCTAGATGCCATCCATTCCAGACTTCCAGGAACAGAAACTTGGAAAATGGTAGAGGAACCTTTTTTTTTTTTTTAATATACTGGCTATTGAACTCACGACCTTGCACTTGCCAGGCAGGCGCTGTGCCGCTGAGCAATCTTCCCGGCCCAAGGTAGAGGAAGCTTAGTCAGTCTCCAGGGCAGTGCAGCGTGCTGATGAGGGGTGAAGAATCTGGAGCTGGACTTGTGGGGTTTGAATCCCAGCTTTGCCTTTTATACTTGCAAGAACATAAGCTACTTGTTTAGCCTGTCTCTGCCTCACTTTCCCTATCTGTAAAATGGGCTTGAGGGCAATCTAATACATGGAAAGTGCTGAGAAGAGTGTGGTTGTTAGTATTGTTATGACTTGGGAGGTAGGGGGAGGGCTTCCGAGGGCCTTCAGCATCACGGATCCCAGGGACTGACCCTGAGGGGTGCCCACAGTGAAAGGGGGGAAGCTCAGTGGCCTCTGAGCCAGCCAGTGGTATTTCCCTCCACATGTTTTCCTCAGGTCCTGAAGGAAGCCTGTGTTTTCCTCCTCTGCACGTGATGCCCACCTGGGAAGCCTGGGAGGTGAATGGGGTGAGAGAAGGTTGGCCCGGCCTGGCCGCATGGCCGGAGGGTCCTGATCTTCTAGCAAGATGCTTCTCTGGACAAAAAGTCCTCAAGTCATCATGTTATGGCACCAGACTTCCTGGAATAGGTTGAGAGTTTTTGGCAAAGCCAAGGGCAGTCATTCCATCTGGCCTCGTCTGCAGGCTGTTTAGTCTCACTTCACCCTGTCCACTGCCCGCTCTGTCCTTAGCTACCCTGTGAAGAGCTCAGCAGGCTTTGAGGGCAGCAGGTGAGGTGCTCGTAGGGAGCAAGACACTGAGAGCCGGCTCCTCCTCCTCAGCGCTGTCCCCCTGGAGGGTGGCGCTCTGCCCCTGACAAGTCACCTTGAGTTCTGCCCCTTACAAGGACACCGCGTTCCCCGGCTCTTCATCCGTGAGCATGAGCATTCATCCTCCTACAGTTGAGTGCACTTTCCCCAAACCCGGCTGGCGAAACCGTCTCCTGCTCTCCAGCTGTTCCCCTCGTGTGTCCCACCCTACCTCACTCTCCTCCTTCCTCTCCCTCGAATTTTTTTCCCTGACGTCACAGCCCTCAGGATAGCTGTGCTGTCACGAGGAGAAAGGCCGACGTCTGCGAGCTGCTGGTTCTTGCTGCTGCAGGCTTTCTCAGGGCTCTGACTCCAGGGCTGAGCAGGCAGGGATTTGGAAGGAGCCCAGGGACAAAGGAGGCTGAGCAGGGAAAAGTAGCCAGGGCGGGGAGTAGGGGCCTATTCGGCTCAGCAGAGGGTGGCTCAAAGTTACACGGCTCCCGCGATGATAAGGTATGGGGTTGCGGAGTGGAGCTCTGATTATGCACCCCAGGCAGAGGCCCCGCCTCCCACCTCATGTCGCCCCCCGTGGGGAGCTACTTTCCAGCCAAGGACTCTCTGTCTTTCCTTTGTCTTTACCGTCTCCTGCCCCCAGCGAGTCCTGCAGTTGGCCCCATTTGTCTGTCTGCTGTGGACCTGCTGCGCTGTCCTAGCGCAGCCATTGGACAAGGGCTGCCTTTCTTTGGGTGTGCTTCCCACCGCCTGCCCGAAACAGAATCCAGGTCCGAGGCTCCCCGTCCTCCCCTTCCACCTCTCTTCTGCGGTTTGGCCTCTTTCAGCGGGGGTTCCTCTCTCCCTTTGATGGCTGCTCCTTTCATCTCGCCTCTGCTGACAGGGCTTTGGGGTCCAGCGCTTTTCACCTGGGAAAGGCTGGAGTCTCTGGCTTCACCACTGTCGGCTGCCCAGGCAGATTAGATCAGAGGGAAGGAGTGCGGGGTTTAAAAGTCAGCTGGACCCTGGCCCGAGCCAGGCCGATGTAGGAAAACACTTCTGAGTGGAGGCCGCTTCCCCCTGCCCAGGAGAGCCAGGGCTTTCTGTGTGCAGGCGGTGGACAGACCATCGTGCAGAAGGGCCTGCGCTGGGCTGCACAGCCCAATGGTCTCTGGACCGCTGCACCTGAGCCGCCTGCCTCAGCGTCTCTCAGTCCCTCCTGTGTCCCTACAGCCCGAGTGTGTTCCCTCACCTGGGGAAGGACAGTTCTGGATAAAGTGCAGGCGTGGAGGTTGTGCTGGGAACGCTCATCTTCTCTCTGTACCCTCTTTTCCACAGACCCTCAGGGGGCTGGTTCTGAGGCCTTTCTCCTTGAGCTTGGCCTCGTCGGCCCAGGGAAGCTGGCCGCTCGCACTTGTTCTCTAGGCTGCGTGTGGGGGATCGTGCCCCCTCGAGAGTGCTGTGTGTACCCACAGCGTCTCCCAGCTCAGGAGGTGGTCTGCTTGGCAGGGAAGGCTGCCCCAAGGCTGGGGAGGGCAGGGGCACCATGACCCAGCGCAGGAAGGAGGTGGCCCTCAAAAGCGTAGGGTCTGTCCAGAGCCGGGAAAGAGCAGCCTCCCTTCTGGAGGGCCTGCAGTATTCAGGTAGTGAGTGTGTATATGAGCTCATTCACCTTCGCAGTAGCTGCGGGTGTTACTCTGACTGCCCTTATTTTACCAATAAGGAAACTGAGGCATGGAGCAATCAGGTTATTGGTCTTTCTTTTTTCTTTGCAGCACTGTTGATGGAACCCAGAGGTACTGTACCTCTGTGCTGTGTTTTTTGAGGCAGGGTCAAGTTAAGTTGCCCAAGTGACCTCAAACTTGGAATCCTCCTGCTTCAGCCTCCCAGAGTGCTGGGATTACAGTGATGCATGATTATCCCCCATGAGCAAACTTTTTTTTTTTTTTTTGCAGTGCTAGGGATCAAACTCAGGGCCTACCACTGAGCTTCACCCCCATCCCAAAACAAGCATTTTTAACACTTTTACAAAGCGTACACTTGGTTGATAGGAAGAATTTTAGAGTACAGAGAAAAATATAAATAAGATTCATGTATAATAAGTAAGAAGGTCGTTGGCCAATTTCTTGCATATTTACATTGATGGATGGTGTTTTTGCACAATCAAAGTCATATTAAATACTCAGTTTTGAATCCTGCCTTTTTCTCTTAATATTACATGAAGTTTTCCTAAAGCGGCTACTAGTGGCGGCCTCAGATGAAGCAGAGCAAAGCTGAATACTAACTTCCCTGCACAGCAGTGCAGATTGGACAGTCGTAGAGGAGGGTTTGGTGTTTGGGTCCGTGGTGGGGCACAGAGGAGGCAAAGGTGGCAGGTGGGAAGGACAGCCCTGGGAGCAAAGGTCCAGAAGACAGCCCCGGGGCAGAGTGCGACGTACAGGGCGCTGCCGGCCGTCCCTAGGGAATGTAGATGCCGAAGATCCACCAGTGGGCTTTAAGTGGAGAGAAACATCAGATGGGCATAGAAATTGCTCTTTGGAGGGGCAGGAGGTTTGAGACAGGGTCTCCCTACGTAGTCCAAGTTGGCTTTCAACTGTACGTAGCCCACACTGGCTTTGAACTTGCAATCCTCCTGCCTCAGCTTCCTGAGTGCTGAGATTACAGACGTCCATCCCTACAGTCAGCTGAAAGATCGCTCTTTCGAGACACCCTGGGTCACGTGATTTGAACGGGAAGAGAGCTGGGCGAGGCGAGATGCTATCTAGGTGAGACACAGGGAGGGCCGCGCCAGAGCAGCAGCAGGGAGAAGAGTGGACTGAAGAGGAGGTGGCTCTCGAGGAGCTGTAAGAGGTAGAAAGGGCGTGAATGTGTGCTTTGCTGGGTGATTTGGTTTGGCCCGTGAGCTGTTAGTGAGCCTGACTTAGCTAGAGCCTTTTGAAAAATGGGGCTGTCATTTTTCTGCCTCGGTCTCCTGAATGCGTGAGGTTTTTCTTAAAAATTAATTTTTTTTTGTCTTTTTGAGACAGGGTCTCGCTATGTAGTTCAGGCTGGCCTTGAGCTCACCTTGTAGCCCAGGCTGGCCTCAAACTCGCAGCGATCCTCCTGCCTCAGCCTCCCGAGTGCTGGGATTACCGGCGCGCACCACCACACCCGGCAATATTTTTAAAAGATTGAACTGATTTGTGGTAGTTGTCCATGTATGTATGGGGTACAGGATCACATTTCAGTACATGTACACAGTGTGTGATGACCAATTGGGGTGATTGGTATATCCATTGCCTTAAGCATTTATCACTTCTTTGATAGCATTTAAAGTCCTCTCTACTATTTTGAAATGTACAACTAGTTGTGCTTAAACACAGCTAACCTAATATGCTATGGAATATTAGAAGTTGTTCATTATTTCTCCTCTCCAGCCGCAGCCCTGTACCACTAACCGCCCTCTCTCCCTTCCCCGCTTGGCCAGGCTTGGGAAGCACCTGTGCGGCGGGGCTGCACCTGCCTCCACCTCACCGTGAGGCAACTGTCTGATGGAGATTATGTGTGTCCGCCCTAGTCTGCTGCGCCAGGGTGGAGGACGAGAGACTGGGGCAACAGAGCCGCCCTGCCCACCTTCCCCAGCCCAGCGCAGAGCCGAGCGCTCGTGACTCAGCCTCACGATCAAGGGCAGCTGGTATCCGCCAGCTCACAGGCGCAGGAGCTGCAGTAGTAAATGAGAGGCGATTCAGGCCATCAGGCTTGGGGATGTTTGTTAGGGGGCAATTGTGAACCGATTGAGAAATGCCCTTGTCCTTGTGCTGAATGCTAACTATGTGCTGGGCACGGGGCCAGGCCCTGGGGATACCACGCTGAACCAGACAGACAGGTCCTTACTCTCGGGAGCTCAGGTTCGAGTGGGGAAGTGGCCCAGGCCTCTGGCTTGTGACTGGGCGCATGGTACCACCATTAGTCAGGGCGGAGTCAGAGGAGGCAAACAGGTCTGGGTGAAAGATAAGCAGTTTGGCTTAGGAGAGAAGTTTGAGGTGTCAGTGAGACATTTAGGGGAGGTGTCCAGGAAAGAGAGGCATATATAGGGGTGGAGCAGAGGACCCAGCTCTGTACCGCAAGTTGTCAACACAGTATAACAAAATAACCTGTGGAAGCTCAGAAGAGAGAATTAGCGGCGAGGGAGAGGAGAGATTTTGTTCTCAAGATCACCGTGCGCTGGGTTTGTGCTTGTGGACGGAGAGGACGAATAAGATCTTCAAAGTATGGAGGTGAGGCAGCGGGTGGACAGTGAGGGTGTGGCTGAGCAGGCAGACTGGGAGAGATCACAGAGAGTCTTGAATGCCGGACCAAAGATGAGATGCTACTGCACTGGAGGAGGGAGCCACTGAATGTGTCCAAGTGGGAGGGTGGCTGGAGGGACTCGTGTCTAGGAGCTGGGCAACAGCGCGATGAATTTTGAAGTAGAATTCAAGAAGTTGGTTCTTGTCTGAGGTCTTCCACTTACTGGCCCTGGGATAGTGCCCAAACGATGCCCCCTCTCTGAGCCCCATCTGCCTCCCCTATAATGTGGGAGCAAAGCTGGGCGTGGTGGCTCACACCTGTAATACCAGCTCTCTGGGAGGCGGAGGCAGGAGGAACCCAGTTTGAACTCAGCCTGGGCAACTTTGCAATTTAGCAAGACCCTGTTTCAGTATTTAAAAAGGGCTAGGGATGTAATTCATTGCAAAGGTCCTGGGCCAATCCACAGGACAGAAAAAAAAAGTGGGAGTAAACCTACTTGCCCTTCAAATGAATCCTAATAAGAGCCAGTGAGACGAAGTGCTAGGAGAACACAGAGCCATGCCCAGGGCAGGCAGTGGGTAGGTACGATGGCCGTGTGACAGTGCTGGCTGGAAGGTGACAGACAGGAGGTGAACTGCCTCTCCCACCTCATTCACCTCCGTTCCCAGTCCCACCTCGGAGAGGTGATTGGCAGATGTCAAGCCAGGTGCCCACTGGCAGCTGGCAGAGCTTCCCATTCTTCATGCCACCCGAGCTCTTCCCCTACCGCCCTCTGTAGAAACAGGACACATCACTGAGAGAGGCCTGGGCCAGGGACTGCCAAGCAGGGCTGTCTCACAGCCTCTGCCCGCCGGAGTTCCCAGGCTCATCATGGCACGAGGGCGCATACATCAAAAGCTCACAGCCCGCTGGTTCCCTTCCATGTGGAACCAAATACCACAACTCCATGTAACATGGCTGTTCAAGTGTGGCTGCAGGGACACGCCGCTTTAGGTGCCGGGATGGCCATTACTGAGAAAATGGCAAACGCGAGCACTGACCAGATGTGGAGCAACTGGAGGCCTGGGCGTGGCGGCTGGGAATGTAAAATGTGAACAGTGGGGCAGTTCTTCAGAAGTGAGCCGTGGAAATTCCATAGAAGTGATTCCACTTCTGGGTATAGACCCCAGACACTCAGAAGCGGGCTCTCCAAGAGATGCTTGTGCGCCTGTATTCGCAGCAACATTATTCATTCACAGGCGTGGAGAAAGGTGGAAGCAATCCTGAGCAGGGGAATGGGCTACCGCGTGTGCTCTGTACAGCCAGTGGGATTTACTCAGCCATAGAAAGGAAGGGCATTCAGACCCACGCTACAGCGTGGATGACCCCCGAGAACACTGAGTGAGACACAAAAGAACAAACACTGTAATTCTACTCATTCGGGGTACCCAGGGTAGTCAAGTTTATGGAGACAGAAAGAAGGTTGCCAGGAGCTGGGGGAAGGGGGCATGAGGTGTTCCTTTCTGTTTGGGATGATGAGAAGTTTTCTGGAGGTGGCAGGTGGTCATGGTCACAGAACAACGTGAATGTTCTAATGCCACTGGAGTATACGCTTAAAATGGTTACAGTGAGCCGGGCATGGTGGCGCACGCCTGTAATCCCAGCACACCAGAGGCTGAGGCAGGAGGATCCTTTTGAGTTCGAGACCAGCCTGGGCTAAAAAGTGAGCTCAAGGCCAGCCTGAACTGCATAGCGAGACCCTGTCTCAAAAAGACAAAAAAAAAGAAAAATGGTTACAATGATATTTGTTATGCATATGTCACCATACAGAGAGGCAAAAGTGCTGGGTTGCTTAGATCTCAGAAATAAGAGAGCCATGGAACTGTCTGAGAAGAAATGGGTGCGAGATGGGGTCCCCGAGAGACGGGCCTGGTGAGAAATCAGCTGGTGGTTCAGGAGCGGGGTGACTGGCAACCCAGCACAACCTGCTCTTCAGTGACCGCAGGTAATCAAAAAGACCTATTGGGGGTGCGGAGATCTAGCTCAGTGGCACAGCGCCTGCCTGGCAAGCGTGAGGTCCTGAGTTCAATTCCTGGTACCACCCCCCCAAAAAAAGGAAAGAGCTATAGGATGTAGTAGACATGCCAAGAAGAAAGGTCGAGGAGGTTTGGGGGCTCCCTCGTCCCTCACCTGCTCATCCTTTGTGTCCCCAGCAGCAGGCCCCAGCCAGCGCCATGGCTTCTGCGGAGCCCCTGACGGCGCTGTCCCGCTGGTACCTGTACGCCATCCACGGCTACTTCTGCGAGGTGATGTTCACGGCGGCCTGGGAGTTCGTGGTGAACTTTAACTGGAAGTTCCCGGGCGTCACGAGCGTGTGGGCCCTCTTCATCTACGGCACCTCCATCCTCATCGTGGAGCGCATGTACCTGCGCCTGCGGGGCCGCTGCCCGCTCCTGCTGCGCTGCCTCATCTACACGCTCTGGACCTACCTGTGGGAGTTCACCACCGGCTTCATCCTGCGCCAGTTCAACGCCTGCCCCTGGGATTACTCCCAGTTCGACTTCGACTTCATGGGCCTCATCACCCTGGAGTACGCCGTGCCCTGGTTCTGCGGGGCGCTCATTGTGGAGCAGTTCGTCATCCGCAACACCCTTCGCCTCCGCTTTGACAAGGACGCCGAGCCCGGCGGCCCCGTGGCCCTGGCCAATGGCCATGTCAAGACTGACTGAGTAGGGAGGTGGGTGGGGGAGGGCTGGGGGTCTCGCGCGGAAGCCATGGACAAAGGGACCAAGCTGGCAGCGTTGCCCGTTCTATTTAGCACAGCCCTGCCCCAGGAGGGCGCACACAGCCCCATACCCTCCGTGGGGGGGTGGTGTTGGGGGCCCAGGTGTCGAGGCTACAGAGGGACACTGGGAAGGGTCCCTGGATCCCCAGCGCCCGGGGCTGGCGGCAGGAGCCGTGTGGCTGGGCAATGCCTGGACTGCATGATGACCTAGGAAGCGACAGGTCCTGTCCTGACTGGGGCACACTGCCCGTGGGCCGAAGGTGAGAGACCAGGTCCGCCGAGGTTTTGGGCTGCTGCTGCGGCCCCCTCCCTCCCTCTCACCCGGACTTAGCTGGGCTTTGGCTGGTTCCGTTCGGCAATATTCAGGTGCTTGCTTGCAACCAATACCTCCCCGGGGGCCTGCTGAGCTGCAGCCTAAGAGAGGCCCTGCAGCCGCCCAGCTGCACGGCAGGAGTGCTGGTCTGCAGGCGCTGGGAACCTTCCCCTGGCTCTGCTCCCCTCCCCCAGGGCCCACGCTGCTCCCTTGGCCTTCTGGGGGCCCCCGTGGTGCTGGAATTCCCACCAACCTTGGGCTTTTGGAGGTTTCAGTCCCCGTGTGTTCGGTGGTGTTTCCCCCTTTCTGCCTTTACCACTAGCAGCCCTTATCCGTGTCGGTCACCACCCCTGCCCCATCCCCAGCTCCCTAGCCCACAGGGCGGCAGCCGGGGCGGAGCCCTGAGACAGACCCTGCCGGCCCTCTTGCGGCCTCCGCTCCTCCCGCTGGCCTGATGGCTGGGAGGGCCTGAGTTCGGCCTCCCCAGCTCTGGTCTGGTGGACTCTTGGCAGTGTCCCACCGCTGCAAGGACCCTGCTCAAAGCAAATAGTGGCCCCCAGAGCACAGTTGGCCCAAGGGGCAAATAAGTACAATGGGGAGAGAGGCAGAGCTCTAGACCCTATTTGCCTCTCCTGGTTTATTTTCAAGCCAGTGGGGCAAAGTAGCTTTCTAGGGGATGGAGGGTCGCCAGGGCTGGAGCTCCGTGGAGGATGAGAAAGAAAAAGAGGACCAGGGAAGGCGCTTTGGAGCCTTCCTCACGGGAAGAAGGGGTCCGTTCTGGTTCTACCATGGCCCCAGCTCTGCAGCGAAACCTCAGGGCTGCCCCTCCCCCTGCCCGTCCTGGCAAGGCTGACCCTTTGAGCTTGCGCCTCAAGTAGTGTTACCCTGCCGCACTCGTGGTCATCTTCCTCCTAGTGGTCTCCCTTTCCCCGTGACCGGTCTGTCTGGCTCCATCCGCCACCCTCCACAGGGAGGGACCCAGCAAAAAGTGGACCACCCTGCCGGACATGGTCTCCTCTTGACCACACTAGGACTGAGGTAGGAATTAGCCTTCCCTTTCTTGTAGAGCATTAAAAAGTGACAGTACCACCTGCGGAGCATCTCCTCTTCCTTGTTGGCTGCTACACCTGGAGTGGATGCCAGCACCAGCCAGGTAACAGCACCAGGTGACAGATGCGACCTGAGAGAAGAGAAAGGCTTAGACACCCAGCTTCTAGTGGCGTTTTCCTGCCGCTCCAAGCCTCGGGGAAGGAGGCTTGGCGTTTTCCCAGCCGTTTCCTGAGCCGGCTTCTCCAGTGGCAAACTCCGGTCTGTGGCGGCTCACCCTGCCTACCTTAGATTTTGTTAAGGCCTCAGTCACAGGGCTTTGAGGACTGCGGAGTGTCAGGGGTGGATTGCTTTCCGCCTTTAGGTGGGAGGAGTCCCTCTTCCTGCTGGGCCGTCAGCTCCTTGGTACCTTCCCGTAGCTCCATGTTGCCAGTCGTCTGTGCCCTGACAACCCCCCCCCCCCGTCACCCACCTTCACATCCCCCTTCTACGAAGGAACCCAGTCGCCAGCTTGCTGAGGTTGCCCAGAAGAAGACCTCCTGAGCTGTCAGCCACGGTGTGGCCTTCAGCGGCCTGCCTGGCTGCGCTCCTGCTGATGTGGCCTGTGTGGGCATTCCCAGGCACCGTTTCCTCTCCGGGCCCTGCAGGTCCCAAGTGCGAGAGTTCCTGGAGTGAACGTGCATGCCTGGCAGCGTTCTGCATTGTGGTCCTCCTTCATCTAGGTGCCCTGTTGCCCCAGCGGCCCTTCATAGGGCGAAGAGCCCCCAGCTCAGGGAGGCTGCGGCCTGTGACCTGACCCCAGGACCTACAGGTTCGGATGTCACGAGAGGCAGCCAGACGTCAAACTCGTGTTTTTTGTGGTATCTTCAGAGCCCCGATCCCTTAGTGCCCAGGGCTCAGGTCCGGAGTAACTCCAGCCGGCCAGGCCGTGGGGCTGCTGGCAGGGAGCGTGCTGGCTGCCGCTGAGCCCCTGGCACCCTGCGCCTCTGTGCTGGCCGTGGCAGCTCTGTGAGCCGCAGAGCGCAAGTGTGCTGCCCTGCATGGTTCAGCTGCTTGGGACGTCCGCCAGGCTTCCTGTGCCCTGTCCCCTCCTCAATGCCACTGAGTTTCAATGGCCCTTGCTTATTCTTAGCAATAATACCTGGGGAGTGCCCACGACGCCCTTTTGCCCTGGTCCCCGCTCTACATGGGTCTCCCGGGCAGGCCACTGCTGAGTGGGACGACTCGTGCGAGGACCTGCACTTATGAAGCTCTGGGCTGTGCAGACACTCGCGCGGGCAGGCAGGTACAGGGGACGTCAGCCCTTGAGCTGTGACGGAGGCAGGGAGAGAGCCGTCCATCCTGAAGCTGCCCAGACCTGGAGGCGCTGCAGGCCCCAGCTTTGAAATGGGTGGACTGTCTTCCAATCCGGCGGCTCTCGAGAAAGACACACGACTGGCTTGTGTGTGCATTGCCTGCTGTGTCTCCATTGGTCTCTGTCTCTTCCTTTTCATATGTGTGCACATAAAATATACCGGTGTTCATGTTCCAGGACTGGCTCCGACCCATCTCGTGGAATGCGGAGCCCCTTTCCCAGGTCCGTCCCACCCTGGCATGGCACCACCCCAAACCTGGACAGCTGCTGGGAGGGGAGGCCGTCGGACACTTCTGCCAGTCCTTTTCACTCTACCCCGCTGTGCCCCTGCCCTTGGGGGGCAGAATCTGGTCCAGGCCTCTTGTCCCTATCCACATGGTGAGTGTGGACCCCCGAGACAGCAAGCAGGTTGGATCCACCAGCCTCAGAGACGAACCCCCTCTGGAACACACTGGTCATGACGTGGGACCTCCCCGAGGGTGGGAAACCCTGAAGGAGGTCCTAAAAGGCCAGGGCCCCCTTGTGTGGCACTGCAAGGGCTGCTGTCAAGAAAAAGCTCTGCGCTCCTCCCTGCCCCTCTGCTCTCCCCGCAGCGTCTTTGGTGGGAGTGCAGCCTCCCCTGGTTGTGTACCTCTGCTCTCTCCAGCTCCCCTGCCCGCGTGTCCCACCAAGCCTACTCTCCTACTTGAAGAGGATGGAGGGTTTAGAAATTGCTCAGTCTGCTCCACCCACCCTGAACCTTCGTGCCAGAGCTAAGCTACAGAACGTGGCAGGGTGCTTTCTAACTCAGCAGCAAGGCCCTCTGCACCCCTCTCCCCATGCTTCCTTGAAGGTATTCATTTCTTTGAAAGCTTTCTCCTTTTTGAAAATGAACTAAAATAAAGCCACAGCAGTCATTTACACGTCAGTATGAACAAGTCCTTAAGGCAGTTCTCTTAGAGTAAGATTTTATAGAAAGAAAGCCAACATAATAAAACAGAGTCTGCTTTATGGGGCTTCAGAAACGAGGCAAAGGCAGAGCCCCAACTGAGGGCACCCCAGACTTCTCAACTGGCTAGCTCAAGGGGTAACTTCCTTTCTTGTTTCTGTGCCCCGTCTTCACCCAAACTAAATGGACCTTCGAAGGACATGACACTGAGAGAAACTCCCAGCAGGGGTAATGCAGGACCTGTATCTTCTGAATCTGCACAGCCTTTGCAAAAGCCCAGGGCTTGATAACAGCGAAGAGGTGACTGACCCCGACTTTCTTCTCGGATGGCTGTCTCAGAAGGGTGTATGGCCACACTGGGGCAACCAAGCAGTGGGCGCCCTGCTTTTGCCTAGGGGGCAGGGGTGAGGGAAGGAGCCGGGTCCCGTTTTAACTGCAGAGGTACACCAACTATTCCTAGCCCTGAGACAGGCACCATCATATTCCTACTTCAAAGAGGTCATTGGCAACCAGTCTGCAAGCCTGGATTTATCACATTTCTCTACAAATTACTTCTTTCTTTTTTTCTGGGACAGGATCTCACTGGTGTCCAGAATGGGCTTAAACTGTGGGGCTCAAAAGTAGCTCCTGCCTCCGCCTCTGGACGGTCCGAACTATAAGCATGCGCCATTGCGCCCAGCTTTGCAAATCACCCTTGTTCCAGAATGAGCAGAAGAGATTTCAGCTCCTTTCAGCTTTCAGCCCCTTTGTCCTTTTTTTAGACAGAGTCTCCCTCTGTAATCCAGCAGGCCTGGAATTCTTGATCCTCCTGCCTCAGCCTCCTGAGTAGATGGAATTATTAGCCATTTGTCAGCAAGCCTGGCTACTGCCGTATTATACTTGAGAAGATTCTGGGTGCCAGAGTCCAGCTCAGCTGAATGCTATTTGCACAGTTAAAATGTGTGGGAGGGTGGGGACGTGAGGTTATGGGAAAGGAGGCATGGAATGCCCTTTCGGGGAAAGCTAAAACACAGATCCCGTCTCATGGAGCAGGGCTGTGAAATTTTGGCCTTTGGCAGTTCTGGGTTTATCCTTGATATCCTCTCTGTGTCCCCCACACAGCCTTATTTTTGCCTTGGGCCTTTTCTTCTTGATCCTATTTCCTCGTGGGAGGATGAAGCCTGGGCTACTGGCTCTTGGAAGGTTTAAAATACACAGGTGAAGCCTCCTCACCTCAGGATGAGAACCTTCTGCCGGGCACCTTCCGAAAACTGACAAGCCTGAGAACTGTTCAGCTCATCGGCTCCTTCTAGGACGCCTCCTGTGAGCCGGGGACTGGGCTAGCTTCCGCAGGGCTGACAGGAATCAGGGAGAGCCACCAAGGAAACCCATGGAATGACATCACTGTCCTGGCCACTGGTCCTCCCGGGGAGAGCCTCCAACAGTGGAGCCTCGCTCAGCTGCAGGGAGAGGTGAGGAGTCCCAGGGAAGCGACAGCGCAGACCTGAGGCCCCGACGAGGATTGATTCCTGATGCTATCAGAGACGGGCTGGATTCTCACTGTCCAGAAATGCAGCCACATTCTTTTTTGTCTTTTTGAGACAGGGTCTCGCTATGCAGTTCAGGCTGGCCTTGAGCTCACTTTGTAGCCCAGGCTGGTCTCGAACTCTCAACGATCCTCCTGCCTCAGCCTCCTGAGTGCTGGGATTACAGGTGTGCGCCACCACGCCTGGCTATGCATCCACTTTCTGTGCCCAGGGAAGTGCCTAACTGGGTACGGCACAGAACGAGGCCAGCACACGGTGGGTGCTTTAAGGACCTCTTTATGGAGGCTTATAGCATGGGAGTCCAGGCAGAATGTTCCAACACAACAAGCTCTCTGGGGAACCTGAAGCTGGGAATCCTGTTTAGACAGCAAGCATCCCTGTGTCCACCACCACAGGGCAGCTTCCTGTTCTCCCTTCAGAGCCCGGCCAGTGAGGCCTCCTCGCCTCTGGGTCTCAGCCAGACTTGCACAGTGGCTCATTCTGGTGACACACGCTCTTGGTTTGAGCAAAGGTGGCCTTTTAGAACCAAACACTACAGAGAAAAAGGCCACCAATGGCCTCATCTGGTTCTTTGCCCCCTTTGCAATCAACCTATGCAGATAAGAAGGGTCTAGCAGGTGGTGAAGTGCCCTGAGTGAGGCTGAAGCTTCTTAGAGAACAGGGTTGTGTAAGCTTCCCAGGACTGTGTCAACAAATCACCACAAGTGGGGTGGCTTAAAATAGAGGAACAAGATATTTGAAATGAAGGATCAGCCGGGCCCCATTCTCTCCAGAGGCTCTTGGGGAGAATTGTTCTTTGCTTCTTCAACTTCTTATCATTACTGGGGATCACTGGCTTCCAGGCCTCTGGCAATTTCTACCTCTGTGGTCGCACAGCCTCCTCCGTTTCTGTCTCTGAGAAGGACAATTACTGTTAGTCAGGTTTCTGTTACTGTAACAAAATACCTGAGATAATGAACTTAAAAGGAAGAAAGGTTGCTTTAGGAAAAGTTAGTGGGTTTCAGTCCCTGATCTCCTGTCCTCATTCTGTCTGATGGTGAGTTAGGCAGCACATCCCAGCGGGAGCTCGTGGTAAAGGAAACTGCTCACCTCATGGTGGTCAGGAAGCAAAGAGAGAGCAGAAAAGGAGGGGCCAGATCTCAGGATCCCTTTGAGCTCAGATCCCTAATGACTTCACTTCCTTCTACCAGGTCTCACCTGCTAACGGTTCCACCACATCACAGTAGCATCATGGGCTCGGGACAAAGCTTTCAATACATGGGTCTTTGGGGAGCATTCAGAAGCCACACTTGCTGGGCATGGTAGTGCACATCTGTGATCCCAGCACTCGGGATGCTGAAGCAAGAGGATCGCTGCAAGTTTGAGGCCGGCTTGGGCTACATAGTGAAACCCTGTCTCAAAAAGATTTAAAAAAAAAAAAAAAGTGCCACACCATAAGACTTATCCTTGAATTTAAGTCCGTCTGGGTAACCCAGAATGATCTCACTTCAAGGTTCTTAACCTAATTACATCTGCAAAGATCCTTTTCCACATCAGGTAACATTCAGAGGATCTGGCCATGGCTAGATGTTGGGGGACACCAGTCAACCCGCTGCAGGGGTCAAGGATAAGATCCTGCTAATGCCCTTGCATCCTGTACCAGCTTGGGAATTCCATTTAGAGCGAGAGCTAGCAGCACATCATGGGGTTATGAGGGAGGGAGGCGGGGCTCGGGTGCAGGATGGAGCCCCGCATCCTAAGATGCACCCCGTGGCTGTTGGGATGGAAATCTATTTCATTACCATCTTCAACGCGGCAATGATTTCTCAGTGACCCTTAGGATCGCGTTCACTGCCTGCCTGAGGCTTATGAAAAGGCTTATGACACCTTTGTGGCTTGGCCTTGTTTCTCTCCTCCCTCTCAGGACTGCACAATCCAGGGAGACTCACTTGTAGCTCCTCCTTCAGCTCCAGCTCACTGCCTCTGGGCCTGCCGCCTCACGTCCTCTCTCCCTGGGACTCTCTTGGTCCTTCCCTTGGCCCAGCCACAGACTGCCGAGCTCACGCTAAGCCAGCACGGTTGGTCCTGCTGACCTGGAGCCCTGCTGGGCCCAGCTCTCAAGTTACCTCAGACAAACTCAGGACGGGCGCTGTCTCCCTGGGAGCTCTCCAGCTGGAGCTCAGCTGCCAAGGCAGCCGGAGTCAGTTGGTGATATTTAGTTTGAAACCTGAATGATGGGAAGGTCAGGCCCTGAAGGCAGGGAAGAGTGTCTCACGCAGCAGAAACAGCTGGTGCAAGGAGCTTAAAGAGTCTGGGGGACCGATAAAAGGCCGTGCGGCTGGAGCGTGGTAAGAAAGGGGGTGAGAAGCCGGGTGTGGTGGCACAAGCCCGGAATCCCAGCACTCAGCAGGGCCAAGGCAGGAGGATTGCTGTGAGTTCGAGGCCAGCCTGAGCTACAGGGTGAGACCTTGTCTTAAACAACCAAAAAGAACAAAAACAAAAACCACCAAGAAAGGGGTGAGGAGTGTGGGGTGCAGATGGGAGGAGTGGTCAGGGTCTGCAGGGCTGTGGAGGCCTGAGGCAGAGGCAGGGGAGGAGAACGGGGTGTGAGGCCGCTGAGACAGCTTTGCACCATTATACCAACTACCTAAAAGAATTAATTTATAGCCAGCTGTGCTGGCACATGCCTGTGATCCCAGCTCTCGGCCTGTGACTGGGCTCTCGTCTCCAGGCGGTTGTAGTC